CCCCCCACGCCCCCTGCCGCTGTTGCTGTGTCTGTGCGAGTGGCTGCTGCTCGGGGATTGGCCACCCCAGCACGTCTGTGCCATTGGCTCTATTTCCAGGCTGCGTCACCGCTCCAGTCAACAGTGAGATTTCAGAAATAGGTGTGTGCATGTTTATCAACCCCAGGCAAGCGAATGCCATCATGTTTCAGCTCAGTCAGAGTAAAAAACTTGACCAGAGAGAGTTAATTAAAAAGAGGTATTCGCAGAAGGCAACCCTGCAATAACAATTACTAAGGGCTGAATCCTGTAGGCACTTGGGAGGTCAAGGGATTCAGCTCACTGCAAATTACTGTAATCATTCAGATTAAGGAAATATTCATACTAGATCATAAATCTGTTATTCATCTTCAGGCAACTGGGCTGAGGATGATTATTCCCCCCCTGCTGCAAGGAATATTCTGTAAATGAATTCAAATCCAACTTCCGTCAGACAGCTCCCTCTCCCTTGCTTCTAATCGCTTTCTCGTTACATGGTAGCTTTGAGACTTGACAACACAGACTCACAGTGGCCTTGGTTACTGCTTTCATACATATTCAGATATATTGTGAATAGAAACAGAAATCAGGTTTGCTGCAAGAAGGTCCAATATTTATGCATTATTCTGGAAAGAAAGGTGTGATGGGCTAGATCTTATGTGCAAACCAGCTGCATTTCCAGGAGCAACAATTCAACCCCTCATCCTTGTTAAGACAGTCATACACATATGTACAAGCAGACCAAAATGTACTATAAGATAGCAACTGATGCTTTTTACCTGTGCTGCTCTGTCCACAAAACAAGAACAATAATTCATACAGATATTTACTTGTTACGAAACACTTGCACCTTTCCTTCAGCTTATGTAATGCAATGCACAATTTAAATGTCAAAGTCTTATCTTCAGTGGCAGAAATAATGAATAGAGTTTGCCTCGCTGTAACTAGTACTTTCTCAGGTACATTGGTATATAAGGTCTCGTTCTGTCACACGCACTTGTACGTGTACGTCAGTGGAGTACCTGTAGAGCTGGTGTCACAGAACTACCTACGCTCTCTAAAGCCATATGTGTGGATCCAGTTTGGGAGCACTCACTTGTATTCATCATAAACCTCCTGCTTGGGAAGGGATGTTTCAGGGTGCTCTTCCAAGGTGTTCCGTATCCATGAGAAGGCGTGCATCTGTTGGGCACGGCTGGATGACATGGAGATCT